ATTTTTAGGCTATATTCCCACATATATAGAACCAGGTATGGCAGTCGCATAATGGTCAGATCAACGCCCAATTGACAGCTAATAATTATGCAGCAGTTTTGAACAATACCCGCTAGTATAATGCATTCCCTGAATGACAAAATGAAACCCCTGCCCATGTTCCTGTGTAATTAGGACCCTGCCTGCATAGGACATGGGTGCATAGGTATTCCCTCCCCTTCAATCCTAGCCATTTTAGGGGTGCATTTGGGTCAGCGTGTGAAATAGCTAAGCATCCGTGCATGAAGTAACCCAAACGAGGCGATTCAGGATTCTCAAGATCAGAAAGGATCCTTTATGCGAAATCCCACGGAGTTCAAGAAACTCTTTTTCCTTGGCAAATCATTTTCTACCCTTTCGCAGCTTCTATTCTTATTGTCATTGTTTTCTGCGATTTACTGTGTAGCAAGAAGACGAAGAAGAAGAACAGTTTAATTGCGTCACCAACAAGAAGAATGAAAAACAAAATTCGCATACTTCCCTTGAAATTCCAAAAGTCTCGGCTAGAGGCTGTGAAATCTCTTTTGTTGATGTCTCATTATTTACGTTAAACCTTTTTTCGTTTGCGTTGCGAATTCTTTGCGCACTTCATTGGTTACTCTTGGCCATAGCCAAAGCACAGCCAAAGTTAGCTGTTTTCTTAGAAGATTTATTAGCCAGTTAACTTTTTGGCTTGCCCAGATGTTGACCTGTCTTAATACCTTGCCACTTTTCTTCTTAGTTAGTTGAATTTTATTTAGAAAAGCTTATTAAGGGTTAGTCTGGAATTTATGGGTCTTGAGGCGACAAGTTTGATTGCCAGTGTTTGATTTTTTAATTAAGGGTCTAGGGTAATATCTAATTTTGGTTAGAAACAAACACTATAAGTACGCAAATTAAGATTAAATCAATAAATCTCTATTTAAAAATCACTAAAAATCTATAAACTTTGCTTTGAAATTCCCCCTGGCTATCAAATAATCCCCATTTCCGCTCTTAAAATCCTTGTGGCCATGCTTCATTGCACCTTATTATGGTCCCTAATTGAAGTCATTATCGTTGGACTCTCTCCCACTAGCCATAAAAAATGTAAAAAATACACAAACTCACTCGCACACAACGTTTAATTGCTTCACTAAATATTCACACAACGCGTTGGCTGATATATTTCAAATTTATTTTACAACAAAAAAGAGAGAAAAAAACGATAAGTTCCCACGACCACCAACACAAGGAGGAGCATTAAAAATTATAAATTCCTGCAGTGAGAGGGCAACCCTCACAGGACGAGGATGCGAAGAGGCCAAGAGGAACCACCGATGGTGGTGGTGTGGTGGTTGATAAGACCCCTAGCCCAGCCAAAAAAAAAAAAGGAGAAGGACAGCAGACAGACAGAAGCGTATGGCGGGAATAATTATAATTTTATATCAAGTACTAGCAAAAAAAAAAGGAAGGGAAAGGAAAAGGAAAGGAAGCCATAAAACGTGTATCCTTTGCTGGCCATCACTTCAGCGTGTGAAACTTTACGAAATGCAGTTTGTAATGTTAGTTTTGACATTGGTCTTGTCATCCAAGAGAAACTCATTCAATGAAAACCCAAAAGTGAAGATAATTAATAGGGGAAAATGTGGGGAACTTTACATAGTACTTTTAATAAGGAAAACCCTATATGGGTAGGGAATATTAATGAAATGAAAATTCTGATAAAATCGCAATCAGAAGTTTGAAAAGTCAGCATCGAAATGAATATTTGTGTAAAGCATCTCTTCATATCTTCATATTCTGCAATTTCCCACAGAGTAGCCCTCTGCAAATAAAAAATCCAATTACTATCTCTTCCCTTGCCTTCCTTTCGATTTAATCTCTCTGTCCATAACCAAGGGGAATCCCCCCAACAACCATAACCAACAGCAGACTGCCACATCCTGAAAGGACAATCCATAAAACTGATGGAAATGCAAGTTTAGCCTACATTTTTGCATAGAAATATGAAACTATTGATGTGGGGAAATGGGTTTTGCAGGCTATTATCCTGCTAGATGAAGGGAGGAAACTTTTCCAATGGGATTTCCGAGGTGTCACACACACACGCTGAAAGCCTAGACTGTTGGAAAAGTCATCGGCATTCTGACCAGAATGCAACAAGTGTCGTTGGCCTTTTGAGGGCAAAATAAAAATGTAATTACACTTTGCCAAGCTCCCACTCTACAACGCCGCTTGCTATTGTGGTTATGCAAGACAAATTACTGATCATATATTGTATAGCTATAGGCTATATAGATAGATATATAAAAGTGTCATTGACTGGGCTTGTTTTGTCATCCCAGGGTTAATTGTTTAATGCTAAATTAAAAACGAACTGGAAAAAATCGCCATGTTCTAGCACGGCATTTCATCGGACAGCCATGTGGCATATGATTTATATGCGGTATCTCTGTGGTCCGCTGGGCAGCTGTGAAAGAGTTTAATGAATTAATTAGGGTGGCTCCCAGCAGAAGAAGAATGGTCAAAAAGGTCAACAAAGTGCCAGACGAAATTTAATTTGCAGTTGGGATAATTATTTACCCAGCAATAAACTTCAGTTACTTTATAGAGAAGTTTTCTATTTTAGATTGGTTTTAGCCTAAAAAAAACTTCCCCCACTTTATGGTTTTCTGTTTGCTTTAGTCATGGAAAATAAGCGCTGATCTAGCTCACCATATTAATTACCGTATCACAAAGAGAAAATAAATATGTATGCTCGTATCAGGCAAACATTGATAACGTATATATATGGATGTATATAGATATCTCTTGCTCTCCATATTTTATATTATTATTTTCCCCATTTTTTTGTTTTCTTTTGTTTTTCATTTTTATCAAAGCAAACTGCAGTTGAATCTGATTCTCTGGGCAAACACGTACACAGATTTTGCGTCTGGAACCTGTTTCGTGCCTCGCTTTTTGGTTGAATGAACCCTTCCGGATGGTGCCCCTTCCCCTGTCTCACACCAAAACCCTTCATCGATTGTTGTCATTTCTGAAATCATGTTTACTTTTAGTGCGTGATTTGGTTTTTATTTTGGTCATTTCTTCTCTACTGTCTATAACATGCCTAAGCCATGAATCACAGTTATAAAACTTTAAGACAAGTTTAGTTCGGTTTTTATGTGATTTTAAAGTGGTTAGTTAAGGAATTTCTCTAGGCCTTTAATGGGCTAAAAGGAGTTTTATAATAACTAATAATGCTTTATATTCAAACTCTTTTATTACAATACCATTTAAATAATATTTTCCATTGCCAATTTAAGACCATTAAGCTGGTCATTATATAGAATATAAAATCAAATAATTGTCCTTCGTTCGAGCAGCCAAAATGTCGCCTTCGGGCCTCTGAATTTATTTCATTTGTATTTTTTTTTATTTGTTGCCCTTTCAGTTTAAGTGCAAGAACTCAGAAAACTTTTAAGCCAAATTCCAAGAGCATTTGTAAATCGTTTCTAGCCCACACCAAACACTTTTCCAATAAACCTCTGACCCACTTTAAAGAAAATTTAGAGGCTTTTCGTGTTAAGAACTCGATTAGCTTGGATGGATGGGAAAAATGCAGTCAAACAGCATCTCGGGAAGAAAAGTCAACGCCCTTCTTCAAATGCCTTCCTAATGAAGCCAGAAAACCAAAAGCTAAGCTTTAAATGTGGGATCGCCCTTGCCTGCTGCTGCTGGTCACCAAGAACCCAACTTCTGGCCTTCGGGAGTAAATCAAATCTTTAAAACTGGTTTCGTAACCATTTACAGTTAACAGCTTAAGTGCCCAAGAAGAAAGTCTTTCAGTCTACAAGTTGCAACGGCATTCCAAAATTGAACTTTACAATTTTGTGTTCAATTTGGAATCCGAAATAAGTTGGACAAATAAGCCCAATTAGCTTGGCCAGCTTGACACTGTTTTTGGGATAGTCAATTAACATGGCCATACTAATGGGCGAAGAACGTGGGATATCTGTTTGAAGTGTGGAAAAGTTTTTGGGAAAACTCAGTGGTGGGCAGTGGTGACGTTGACTTTGAGACCTTTTTTTATAATGGCTTTCATGTTCTAAGAGATTTAGACATGCAAACAGCCAACGGACAGCCAAGAGATTACCCCTATTTAATTCACATAAATATTAGATAATATTTCAAAGAGCTAAAACACGTTGGGTAACGTTGTTTGAGTGGGCTTATCTTCTGCCCACTTTAGTGCTTTTTATTAAAAAAAATTAAGAAAATAGAAATGTTAGAAAATCGAAAATATTTGTAGAATCAAAGTTGGTAGCTTTTCTCGGACAAAGTCTAGTAATGAAAAATCGGAGAGACAATTTCTGAAAAGCTAAGTGAAATATACAAAGTTTTGTTATGATTTTGCGATTAGTTTATCAACAGTTTACCGCAATACGAGGCATGTGATAAAGTCACAAAAATGTCAGCCCGTGTCACCGCAGCGCTGGGAAAACAAAAGCCTCTTCCAAAGTCAAAGCAAATAAAAGCTAAAAAAAAAAAAAAAAAAAATGAAATATTAAATAAACAATTACGTGAGACACCCGACTGGCCACGCCCATGGCTCACCGCCCACACTGGGCGATAAGCGATTGGAGGCCGTTGGCATTAATTGCTCCTCTTGACTTCAGTTCTAGTTCAGGCCAAGCCGTGTAGGTTGGTATCTCTGTATCTGGTCCTGCGAAAAGCTTTTAATGGATCGCAGCTATTTGGGGGGGCACCCAAAATTATTTTTTTATATCTAATATTCGAGGGCACTTCTCTGATCTCCATTCAATGACAATCAAGGGGGCGTCAAAACAAATACAAAAAGCCGTTAAACCAAAGTGGTTTCATGTGTCGATAGCGATAACGAGGGGTGTGTGACTCATGCATATTGAAGACGTCAGCGCTGATAGCCAGTGATATAGCAGACCCCCTCCGACGTATCCAAACTATAACCACAAACACTCTCTCTAAACATTTTCCAGATCGCCCATCAATTTAATTTAATCAAAGAACGTAAATCAAATTCAATGAACAAATAAATTTGCGCACTCCAACGAGCCAATAAAAAACGGATCAATAAACCGAAATACATTTATACATATATAAACTAATATCTGGCAACGCTGTTAGTTTTTGGATTGTAACGGTTATTCACGACAATTTACTCACGCCCCGAAGTCGAGGCTTTTGAGTAGGCATGGGAAACTCCTCGTCACACACGCACGAACCACTCGAGCGCGGCTTCACACGCGGAAAATTCGGTGACGTTAAAAATGGGGTAGGTTTTCAGTTCCATACGATCAAAAGTTCTACAGAGGGTTGAACTGCTTACAACTCGCACTTGTTTCGATCTCTCTCTCTCTCTTCTATATCGTTTCTATAACTTACATAACTTATAATGCCTTCTTATCCCTTAGAAATCCGCTTCCTTCCGATTTAGCAAGAAATCGCCGAAGAAAATGGATCGTCTGCGTCGCTCTTTTCGCGACTCCTTCAGGCGTCGCAAGGATCGCGTTCCCGAATCCTCGAAGCCGCATCAATGGCAAGCGGATGAGGAGGCCGTCAGATCGGCCACCTGCTCTTTCTCTGTGAAGTATCTGGGATGCGTCGAGGTCTTCGAGTCGCGCGGTATGCAGGTCTGCGAGGAGGCACTCAAGGTCTTGAGGGTAAGCAATCAAATGGTTATTTTATAGGAGGTCTTGGAGATATAAAAATGCTTTTGGGCATACTAACGTTTTAAGTTCTTAATTTGATCGAATTTTAATCAATTATTCCTGAAAAAATCAACTAGCTAGTAACTTATTGGCAGTCAAAAATTTCCATCAAGTACTACGTTTTCTTACTTATATTTGAATGTTGATTAATTTATTGAGGATTTATTTGTCTGATAACGATATATCGAAGTTGCTAACAACTTAGTATTAGCATTGAAGAAGACAGTTGCCAAGCACAAATTATCACAGTGGTCACTCACTGATTTATTATTTCAATCAACTTTATAAATATAAAAAAAATAGATTACCTATTCTTCTCTATCTCCAAGTCCTTCAATATTACTTACCTAACTAAATCCTTTAATAATAAATAGTAAACCTTTTTAGCAATCCCGCCGACGCCCTGTCCGAGGACTACTTCATGTCAGCGGAGATGGCTTGCGCGTGGTGGACGATGAGACCAAGGGCTTAATAGTGGACCAGACCATCGAGAAGGTCAGCTTCTGTGCACCGGATCGGAACCATGAGCGTGGCTTTAGCTATATTTGCCGAGATGGAACCACTCGTCGCTGGATGTGTCACGGTTTCCTGGCGTGCAAGGATTCCGGCGAGCGATTGTCTCATGCCGTGGGCTGTGCTTTTGCCGTTTGCCTAGAGAGGAAACAGCGTCGTGACAAGGAGTGCGGCGTGACGATGACCTTCGATTCGAAGAATTCGACCTTTACGCGGACCGGATCTTTCCGCCAGCAGACGTTGACGGAACGTCTAGCCATGGCCACGGTGGGCACAAATGAGCGAAGCGTAGATGGTCCGGGATCTGCAATGCCAGGACCACCAGCGGCCACCGTTAAGCCTTACAATCCCTTCGCCATCGAACGGCCACATGCTACGCCGAATATGCTGGAACGTCAGAGCTCCTTCCGTTTGAGCACAATTGGCAGTCAGTCGCCATTCAAGCGCCAGATGTCACTGCGCGTCAATGATCTTCCGTCCAACGCCGATCGTCAGAGGGCTTTCCTGGCTGCCGCTGCTGGGAATCCGTTGCAAACGCCGCTACGAAGTGTATCACCAATTGCCGAGGTTTCGCCGGCTAAGAGTGCTGGGGCGGATCCGTCGGCGGCCGCCGCTGTTGCCGCCGATTCGGTGAGCCAACTGTGCCAGGAGCTCAGGCAGGGTCTCTCCTTGTTGACCCAAACGGATGCTCTGATGGCCGCCGGCGATGATCTGAACTTCAACAACAATCGCAGCATTAACCAGAACATCATTGCCGCCGAGAAGCAAGTTCAGCATGTAATTTCGCACAGCGGAACGCCTACGGCACAGGTGACGCCCCGAATGGCCAGTACCACGCCCACTTATCAGACCCTATACTCACAGTCGCCTACCCGATCAGAGCAGAGCATCGAAACCTCAACGGAGCTGCCAAATGCCGAGCAGTGGTTGGGTCAGGTGGTGCGTAGTACTTCTCCGGCTGCACCCAAGCGGCCCAGTTATCTGGCCAATGTAGGCCGAGCTCAAACACTGGCCAGTGGCGGGGCGGCGGGAGCTGCAGCTGGAGCTGGTGGCCCAGATGATCCATTTGACGCCGAATGGGTTGCCAATGTGGCGGCAGCTAAGCAACTGTCTCCAGATTTGCCGCTACCTAGCACTGCGCGCTCACCTCTGGCCAGGCACAGCACCAATCCGTTCATCTCACCGCCTAAGGCGCCGGCGCAGACATTCCAGGTGCAGCTCTAGGCAGCGAATCCCGGGGTCACCATGGGGGACAAAGTGTGGTTCGCTTGAAAAAGACGTAACTTAGTTTAAAATTCAGGGGCAGGATCAGGATCAGGCCAAATGCAGAAGTTGGAACATAGATGGATGGATGGCTGGATGGATAGGATGGATGTTATCAGAGATACTTAACGCAAACATAACTAATGTTGAATTATGCATATAGAAAAAATATAAAAACAGTTACTTATACACGCAGAACGCATCAAGTACAGTAAATAAACCCATTAATGGCGCTTAGCACTAGGCCAAAACTCAAATAGCTTCGAGTAAAAGGAAATCATTAGATCGTAAGAGATCTTAAACCGACTATCAGTCTTATAAGAAAGGTCTGTATATATGAAATTTTACGACTTGCAACTTTCAAAGACTTGAGTGTAATATTTCACAGTGTTTTCCCAGATTAAAAGACCGTTTTTAATTGACTAGACTGATAAAGGTTAAGATCCCTTAGTCACCCAACAATTGACCAAGCTACCAAGTTACCCACGAAAGTCCACCATATAAAAAGTAAACAAAAACTAAAACAAATGGCACCCTAAATCTTAAATGATAAAATCTGTATTATACTTTGGTAATGCCCTTCCACTACTTGTTGATTGATCCCACTAAGAATAATGATTAAATACAGATTATGTATGTTGATATGTAAGTAACTCTATGTCTTAGAGCCAATTATTATTTTGTCAGTGTACGACGGTTCACCGTTTTTATATCAAATCTTTAATTATTTAATTTAATTTTTAAATGTGTACAAAATGTATTATACTTAAATTATAAATATAATTTTAAAAAAATAAAACAAAAACAAAAGAAAACGAAAACGAAACAAAAAATATAAATAAACTTCAAGTTATTTAAACTTACAAATCAAGCAGCAAAATACAATGCAACTAATAAAGACGATATAGAAATATTGATAAAAATAAAGTTATATAGAAATCTATTACGTATATTGTAAAAGACAGAGCAGAGAACAGAAATACATTCGATTTGTGTGCTTAATTCTTTAATTTGTTTTATTTTTGCGGACTGTTTATAAAGATATTCCCAATATATTTGGAAGAAAAAAATAAAAAGCCACCTAGCCAATGCACCAAATGTAACTTATTATTGATTAGATTATTAATCAATCTCTAGATAGAATCAAACTGCATAATGAAAAACAAAGTCATTGTTCCTAAGCCAAGATTTAGGAGTCAGTGCACACTGCAGTGAATCGCACTCATACATATTTACATATATCTACATATCGACTACCCTCAAACCTAGGCAATGGTTTTTGTATATATAATGCATACATATATATATATATATATATATATATATAAACAAGTCGTTGAATGATTTATACATTGATTTGCCTTGCAAAGTGTCACCTGGCTTTATTTGGACATGTTACTTACTCTTTTAATATACAAAATCTGCACTAATGTAACCTAAGGACTACACCAATTTGAGTTGTTTTTGACAAATTTTGTCTCTAAATTGAAAATTCGATATGCAAGCATAAAGAAAAAATATACATATATTTATATTTAATATTAGCTCATATACACAAATAGCAAAATTAAAAGGAGACCGACAAAAATGTCGTTTAAAGGTCATAATGATATTATTGATCATTCATTTGAGAGTTAAATAAACGGTATGGAAATACATAAATAGTCAATGCAAGTTTATGGTCAAAATGTATTAATGATATTTAAATTAAATAAAGGGGACTATTTCTATGAACCTTCGATTTCAATGTTCCCTCGTCATCTAGAGAGGGACCTAACTTCCAAAATAAACCGTCGATGACAGATGGCGCCTAACTTCGATAAGTTATCAGCTAAATGCTTACCACCAATACAAGCGTGCTAAGTAGTGCAGAAAACTGTTCATCCCTTAGGGTTAGTTATCTTATCGCTTTAAGGAGTAAATATTGAGTTGGCAGAAAACAGTGTATTTTACATGTATGTAAAATGTATATATACATATAGCGGCATCTATTGCAGATTTATAAAATAGCGACATCTTACATTCTACGGATTAATATGAATCAACGTTTTTTTTTTCAATGTCTATGTCTTGTGCTATTTTTATGACATAACTATGTTTTCTGCCGATATTAGTCCATGAAGTTTCTATGTATTTAAGAAGTCTAAAAATTTTATAAGGTTGTTAAATTCAGATGTACGGCTATCTAATTTAATAGAATCTATTATACGTCTGTTTGTATTTCCCCATAACGTTGTATGACACCATAAAGTTAAATCACGAAATCTACATTTGAACTCTACACATTAATATTAATATTAAATATGTAAAATACTGAGTTTTCTGCCAACTAAATATTTACTCCTTAAAGCGAGATTACCAATCCTAAGGAATGAACAGTTTTCATCACTACTTAGCACGCTTCTATTGGTGGTACGCACTTAGCTGATAACTTATCGAAGTTAGGGGCCATCTGTTATCGACGGTTCATTTTGGTAGTTAGGTCCCTCTCTAGATGAAGAGGGAACATTGAAATGGAAGGTTTATACAAATAGTCCCCCTTAACTCTTAAATCAGTACAAATGAAATCAAATAAAAAAATATAATTCATTTAAATATCGTTAATACTTCTTGACCGCAAGATTGCATCAAAATTTATGAATTTCCATACCGTTTATTCACAATATATTTCCTTTAACATAAATTTGTAAAATCTTTAAAATAAAAGTTATTGATAATTATTTTTAAGAACTCTCAAACTGTTCATAAAAAGATATCCTCCAGTGCATTGTCAAAGTGTTCACCTATCATGATTTTGCTATAAGGTATGTGTTCACCATAAATCATTTTCCTGACCAGTGTAAGTCATACAAAAACCATAAATTATAATATTCAACTCTCTAATTAGTTGTTATTAAAGGAATTTATTTATTTTTATTGTAAAGTTCCCTAAGGCGGGTGTGTCAATCGAATTGAAAAGAAATCCGAAGGATTTTTTTGGAACATTTATGTTTCTTTGAACTTTTAACTATGAATGAATTTTTGATCTAAATTCTTAAGCCTGTTTTCTGTTTGAGAATAAATATTGATTAAGCCAAAGGACATGCAGGTAAAACCTGCAAAGAACTTGCATGTGCCCAGAATTTTCCACAGAAACAATTTTTTATTTACCTAACACAAAACAATAAAATATAATATCACTGGTTATAAATTCTACAAAATGAATTTGACTAAACTATTACAAACTAAATAGTAAATCGAAATATTAGTTTTTATTTGAGACCTCGCCGGAAGGTAAATAGGCCTGATTCTCGTAGCCAGCAAAATTGCCCAAAACCATTGAAATGCGCGAAGGCGAGTGTTGAATGCCATTTCCGGATTTATCCAAATCCATTTGGCCATTTGATTTTGCACTGGTTGGCAGTACGAAATTAGCATTACGACAGCGTCGATGGAGAAATAATCGAAGCTTAAAGAAAGCAAAAAGCAGTACGTAAATGCAACAGGACAGGATGAGTACGCCAATGACTGTGATAAAGGCATCTTGAGGTTTCCTCCAATCAATCACGAAGTAGATATAAGGCATGCCCTTCCTAGGAAAAAAAATGAAAATTAGAAATATTGTATTTTATATATTACATTCATAACTTACTTATTTACTCCTCCACACAAATGGTAGATATACGAAAAGATGGCAAAAACAACTCCAAATAATACTGGCAGAAAGACATGCAGCAATCTCAGGGGATGTGCCACTATCCACAGATCGACGAACATGCAAATTGAGTTAAATGCATGAGTGAGAACATTCGTGGCATCCAAAGAGCTCTCCTTAGCTATGGGAAAATAAAAAAAAACGTTAATATCATAAAACTTATTTGCAGGAACAACAACTCACCATCATATAGAATAGTCCAGTAGATAATGGTGATCACTATAGACAGCACCAAAGTTATGATATGCATACTCCCAATACACTCGAAAATAGCTGAAGGAACTCTTTATGTTCAGGAGTTTATCTGGTTTAAATATTACCACTTTTAAGTAATTAATTAAGTTATTTTATACCTCTACTTACCCGCATATTCTGGATGATAATGCCAGACTGTGACTAGAACAGCACCCAATACGTTCGTCAGCATGCACATCCAGATGCCCCAGTTGGTCATGTAGATGAAGTAAAGCCAATAACTGCTTTTATCATCGGCTTCTGGCCACATCGAGACGATTACCACGACTACAAAGAACAGGGCCATGAACCAGCGATAAAACAAGTAGGCCATACTTTTTGTACATGACTGCCACTGGAAAGTAGTAAACAATTTTTAATAATTATTCATAATAATTTAGGTTTTTATTTCCCTATAAGCCCTTGACTGTGAACCAATAATTTATAATATAACATTTATTAATTATGATTTATTAGTGTTTATTTTCGCAAGCTAATAAATTATTATAATAAATTAAAAATCCATTTAAATAATGCAATAGTCTCACTATCGATGTGAATTTTCGATCATATTTTCCACATGCCATCTACATATATATTACACCCATATCTATTCTAAAATTTTAAGTTCTAAAGGTTAAAGGGCAGCAATATGGAGAAGCGCAATTTGTTGTAACTATCGCATGCTTAAAGTATAGCTTGCGACCTGACTTGCCGCACAGTCTGTAACGGCTTGCGGCTTATGAATATTTCAATACAGTAATTTAAAATGCAAGATCAATCAATGTACACAAGTCAAAGTTTACTCTCATACATATATATCAGAGCATTCATATACTAGTAAATATATATATTTTAATATATTATAGTTTATATTTGTAGCCAAACAGAGCCCCCTTTTTATTTATACTGTGACTAAAAGAAGTCATCAAATATGCTTAAGGTAAGTCCAGGTAAAACGCCGAATGCCTTTTTAGCTTTGTTAACGAGATTCGATTTGGCTAAGGATTATGTACAAATTGGCAGATTTTTTTATGGGGAGGTAAGATTGCAGTTTCTTTAAGTTAGTTAGACATTTGAGTGATTTAATATTTTCATCTTAAGCAACCTTATCTAGATCTTTACCTATATTAATCTTAATAGTTCTCCTATAGCCCTAGCCCAACAACCTACACTTTAAACTGCCCACCGTGTACATTGACCCGCCGCCCGAGTGCAAAACAAATAAAAACACACCTGCTCAGGTGCGTGCCGAATGGAGGCGTTTGTTTTCTTTCGTAGGCCCCAAGGACGTATCTATTTGTAGTATCGTCAAAGTTTCATTGAACCATTTAAACTGACCCATCCTGAAAGCCCATCCTTACCTGTGACTTGACAAAATCATCGGGCGTATCATGGTCAAAGCCGCAGCTCTTCCGCTGGAACTCCTTCTTCACCGGATGCACGATCACCTGGAGTTTACCCATCTTGTTAGCTTCTGTTGGCTTTAGAACTTGGCTAAGTTGTGTTGGATTCGATCGAGGGTTCACGTAAGCAGACAAATCACGCAAAAGTGATTATGCAATCGAAAGCGTGTTTAGCAATGCCATTCTCCGAGCTGCTGTGCTTGTTTATTGCTTATCACGATTTGCTGTAACGAAAACACAGTTTTAAATATTTAAAAAACAAAAAATATTATAAAGTAATTAATAAATTTAACAATGTATCCTATACTAACCATAATTTATTTTTATTTTGATTAATAAATGATAAAAATATAAATGACTTTTTCTAAAACCCATTTTTCAAGTCTTAGTAAACATTTCTAAAAAACTCATACGTATTCCTCCAGACTTTACTCACAGTTCTCAGAATCGTTGGCAACAACTAAACAAATAGTTCCTATTTCAGCATAAATATTTTGAAAAAAATAAAAAACATTTTTTGTGATGGAGCTGGCAGGTAAATTTCTAAAGCCCGTCTGGCGGCCAATGAAGCAAGGTGAGCTTACCACAGAACCGTACTTAGATTTACCCATTAATCAATATACACTCGCTGGACTTAGTGGCACGTCTCTATTGCGAGAAGCCGATGCGGAGTCTAGTCTCTTTTCCTGTTGCCAAAGTGGAAAGTGGAAAGTCCAAGTACATGATGGCCCACGTTTACATCCACGGCGAGATGGGCAGTGCCAAGCAGGTGATTCGTACCCATTCCAAGGCCAAGTACCATCGTAAGTTAGCAATATTTCCCATAACCTTTCATGGTGACCTTATGCTGTTCTTCCTAATACCAATCCAAAGTTGATGTCTACGATGAGTTGAAAAAGGAAGCCGAGGCCATGGGCTTGTGCACCCAGGGGCTAGGAGGTGGTTACTTGGTCCATGACAAGGAGAAGAAGTACATCAAGCTCTATGGAAGATCTCAGGCTTTAGGTAAGGCCGACCATGAGGCAGCCAGAGAACTACTGCAACCACTCTACAACGATCACAAAATTGATGCTGAATCTGGCGGCATGGAACCCTAGATAATCTTTACTCTACATTTTGTCCTTTTTCGGTCCAGCCAATATTTTGGTTTTAACATTGTCTAAAGTTATATATTTTATAAATTTTGGTCTTAGGGCCGAGTGAATAATTTACGAAAATTAAATTTGAATTTCACAAGGAATTTGAAATGTGAATTAAGACAGTTTCTGTAGTTAACACTGACCTCTATTTTTTGGATGGTTTCTCCACCATAACATTAATGGGTGCTTAAATCTGGTCGGGCATGCGCAACCCCTCTGACCCCAAAAAGAGTTACTAACTAATGTGCAAAATGCGAGACAAAAGTTACGAAGTCTGGAGATCTGGACCTAGTAGTCGGTTTAATAGTGCTAATAATGCCACAATTGTATGATATTATATATAGAGGGAAGGGGGATAACGTCATTTATGGATCAATTTACCACACAGTTCATTCGCTTCGACGGCCGCTCTATTATTATATAGTCAGTGAATAATTATTCGCTTCGCCAGGCTGGCTGACAGAGAGACCCTCAGCAGTTCATTGTGTATTGCCTGTCATTGGACGACCATTAATTGCAAAAAATAACAATATAAAGTTTTGCAATAAATATATTATTTAGCACACTAAGGTCGACTATAGAACTCAGCTTGTCGTTGGGCCATCAAGTACTTTATACATGGGTATAAAGTACTTACTTTATACATGGGCATAAAGTACTTAAGCTAGTAAAGTGATTTTACAATAATAGATAAAAAATCTTTGTTTTTCATCTGATTACCATGGTAACCTCGGCATTCCCTCGATAAGATATTACTCACTGCTTAAAAAAGAAGAAATCTCAAGTCATAATAAAAATATAATACTAATTAGCTAGCTATAAGCAGAAATTTGGGTTTACTAGAAACAGAATCACTTCGAACAGCTTTGCCGTCTGAAACTCTAGACCCTAAAATTGAATTCAGTCATAATTTTCACGGCAATTGCGCTTGCTTGGCGGCACAAACATCGCGCCATATCCCCCGAACTTAATTGTAATTACTTCTCTGGAGTATACACTCTGATATAAACATTTCAAGAGTGCGCTGTTCATTGTCCCTGAACTTGCACGAATGCCGCCACGCTAATGAAACTTTTCAACGAGAAACCCAAAAACAGAGCTAAGGAGGGCGGCTAATTCAGTTAACAAACTCTTAACCATCCACCTTGGTGGCCAAGACAGTTTGGAGTCTTGTTTAGTGTTCATTTTATTTACACGTTTTTATTTGGGCTGTCGCTTGAGCTACATTTTCGTCAACAAAAGAAACCAAATAGTAGCTGCCTTCCAACATATGTTTACAGTGAGTGTCGAAAAAAACGTAAGGTCAGAAATACTTGTTTATGAATATGGCTTTTATATTTTATTTTATTATTATAAATTTATGTTAGTTATTAATCACAATTAAACATTAATTAATGATTAATAAAAACCTAAAACTTATACAGATTTTCTGCCTTGTTTTTCTACTTGAGCTAGTACTTATGAAACGCACTGTAGGCATATGATATATAGGTTTATAGGGCTTGATGTTGTACCACATTGAACCTTAAAACAAAACTCGTTGACCTTTACAAGCTGTGTAAATAATAATTTTTCGTCTTTGAATGCCGTCAAACCACTTGAGTGAATGGGCCAAGTCAAAAGACTTAATATTCCCATAACATATCTATATATATATATAACTCCCTTAAGATCTACATACTTGCGGTTTAGATAAGACACGTCATCTATTCAGCAGTCACAATCTTTTCAATCAACTTAATAGAAAGTGAAATCAAAAGAGTTCAACGCCATTGAAAAGGCATTTCTTATGTTAATGTCAAAAGCATAGCCAAACTTTCATATGAGTCTCAAGTGGTTGGCCAAAAGTTAAGACGAAATAGCTAGCCGAAAATCATCATAAAAATTCTTAAGTTTTTTATCAGCCACATTTAGCCGCCAATTAGCCAATTGTTAAATCCCGATTGGTCTATATAATTAGTCTGCGGGTTGTTGATTAAAGACAAAGTTCCAATAATAAAAAGATAAGAATGATTAGTCTATAAGAAAGCTCTTTTTCTCCTCAATTTTCCATCATAACTTATGCAAAGTTTATACATTATATTCTCAAAGTCCACTTTCTGTTATAAAATCAAACCGGTTTTTGAAATAATTGCCATTATTGGATTGAACGAGGTCAGTTATTGTACAGAAAGTGTTAAAATTTAATTATCTCCCCCGATAATCAAGCGGAAGCGAAGAAAATTATTAAAGTGTTAATGAATGTACTTAAAATATTTGTGAGAATATAAATATAAACATAAACAAATCTAGCTTGGCCTGTATTTAACACCAAACGTTAACTAACCAAAGTAAACCTGTGGAAAAATGCCAACAAACTAGTTTGCTAATGCATACCGGTCAATTAGCCAACATTAAAGATTCGATGGATGTTAAAGCCACATTTGCAGATCTTACATAGTTAAGCACTCACCTTCAACTAATTTGAGTATGAATAATTTAGTTGTCCAAATTTGCAAAGCCGCTCCTTGGAATTTGTTGTTATTTTTGGTGAACAGGAAACTTATAATCGCTCACTTAGCTGCCTTTTTCATTAACGTTTTTTTTTTCGGGACGTGCCTAAAATTTCAAGCGAAGCATTAGAGCCAATATGTATGCGCGGCTAGCAGTGCGAGAGTAGAAACTCTTCAATAATATATGTACATTTGAGAACAGAAATTTACATTGAAACCCAAAGCAAGGAAAAAGACTGTATAACTTTATTTTTAAATTTTGGCAAAGATTTGCAAGTTTTTATATAACTTTCAAATGAAATCTTTCGGAAACCAAAAACGGAATGTATTTCTGTGTGAAAATCCCTTAACAAAACTTTTTAGAACCTCGAAAAGTTATTTTAAGACAAAATGTACATACTAAAAACTAATTTGCAAACTTTGTTTGAAGAAATTTTTGCAGTTTAATTCTTTAGCTCGTTATGCTTATTAATAGTATATTTGTCGTATATAGTAAGTTATTCACTAAATAAATATTTGCCTAACAACTTTGATTTACTAAGCACAAACACACATTTTGAAAGATCTTTTTAAGATTTTTAAAAAGAACTTTATTAGGTTTTATTCATTTCTCCTTAAAGTTTCTTCCAGCTAAATTTATTTCTTTTTTCTGCCTTGTACTTTGTGGCTTTATAAACGCGGTCTTAATTGTCTTTTATTTTTTTCTGTTTTTTGGCCCGGTTGGTAATTTCTATTTGGGTCACCACAGCAACAGCCACAACAACAACAACTTTGCATAACGGTAACCAGCGATTTCGAGTTTGTTTGCTTGTTTGCTGAGCGTTGCATTTGTAGTCTGTTTGAGTATTACAACAAACGATCAATTCACATTCACGCACCGATGCACCAGAACAGCCAGAGAAATAATAATAGCAAAAACTTTAGTTTTACTACTAAAAGTAGTCGCACCAAAATCGCAGAACTGTGAACGGCAAAAATCACGACTTCTCGCTGCGAAGAACGAATCAAAACTGATCGTAGCTTGCGTTTATTTTTCTTTGGTTTGATGGAGTCGCCGCGTTTTTGGATCGTATATCGTAATGTCGTTGTAGTGATATATCGTAAGCCCTGATCGGCTGCTGCGACGCCAACGCTGACGCAGCCAGGTGTGTTTGCCCATGTGTTTTGTCGTTGAGAGAGGCGGACATAGAGAGAGACTACACACAGAGAAAAACTTTGTTATATATTAAAATAATAAAAATTATTCTTTAGGGAATTATTATACTAGACAAAAACACGTTTTAAGAAATTTGGTTTGTATTTAAAAATATTTGTTAAAAATACGACCACGTAAAACAAAAACTATCAAAATCAAGAAATCTACTTAGTCACCAAATTTCCAACGTTTTTGTGCTATCAGCACCTCAAATTTATGGAATTTTATTGCTTTTTAAATGTTGTTTTCATATTTTGTTTCTTTTTACCGAAAAGAAAAATATTTTTAATTAAAAACATACCTATGTCTTTTTTTTATGATTTTATAAATAAATACTTATGTATTTTTACATGGAAATGGTTCACTTTGCATTCAAGAGTTATAAGCAAAAATATGTAAATGAAATGTTTCGGAAATTTTAATTTTTAAAGCATTTCGATGTTATCAGTGTTTTGGAATAAATGAGATTTCTTACCAGATTTAAGAGTTATTTTAGGAATGTTCTTATTTCCGTTTTAATTTATTTTTCTAATTTTAAAAAGAAATTTCTATTTCACTATACTTTCATTCTTCTCAGTGCTTGGGTATTGACAGAAGATAAAACAGACATAAAAACGATGGATGCTTTTTGGCTCTGTTTTCTGTCCTCCTCTTTTATCCATTTTAAGCTTAATTACTCGCTCACTTTATGCTGTGCGTTTCTGTGTGTGTGTTTTTATATGGCAAATGTTTGCAGTCAAAATAAATAGAAGGTTTTACCTGCTGGTACAGTTTTGGGAAGAAAGAGAAGAGAATTCCAATCCGTCTTTAATGTCCCAATGAATCAAGTTAGTTTCGTAATTTAGAGAAAGAACGTAGAACTGTTTTTAAGAAAAAATAACCAGATTTGTAATCTAATTGCAAGATTACAAAGAAAATGCTTATTCACTTTTCCATTCATGAAGACAAAAGCCTTGAAATTGGGTTGGGAAAGTAAGCAAAAAGTCTGAGCTCTGGTTAACCAATTCTTTGTGCCAACGAACTTGTTCCACTTTGCGGTACCTATACATTTTTATAACCTTCTTTTATAAACAGAATGATTTAAGATAAAGGTTTAAGCTTTTTAAAATTATTTATAAAAATCTGCTTAATGTTTAATGCTTAAAGTGACAGCAATTATAATAAAATGTAACAATGTCTGAATTTGCTTTTATATGTCTATAAAGAGTTGAAAATATAAAAGCTTATTTAAGATATTATTTAATATGCTTGCAGCTCCTTTAAGGAAAAGCAATCTCGTATTTGTTTAATATTCTATTTTTGTCCACACTTTGAAATTTCCATAAATTAACTCCACATTCCTATAGTTATATACACTTTCTTTTATTCCGACTTTTGTTATAGTTTCGTTATATAATATAAGTTTATACAATTCCATTAGACTCTTAATCCATCTCTTAAACAGGATAACATAGAGTATTTGTAACAAATTTCATTATCATATAATATATATATTCCATATATGTAGTAACAATGCTTACTAATTAGCCTAACTAAACCAATTCAATGTTAAGGAACCAGAAGATTAAAACTTACAATAGCAAATACTATTTATAAATAAATGCATGCGAATGTGTGATGCGACTCCCTCTTAATAATGCTTTTAAATTTAAGATGAATTCGAAGTGAGATGCTGGCGATGGTCTTGGCAAATGTGCGGGTGTTAATGAGGTGATATTACATGACTGTAACTGGCTGTATCCCTCATATCAGACCCACGGCATGGGGAGTCCAAACCACACTGAATGCCCTATTGAACATCCTCTTCATCTTGTAGACACCAAAGAGCAGCATCCAATAGCAGATGATAAGCACGAAGATGCCCACGAAGGTCACCAGACAGCGGTTGGGATTGTTCCAGTCCAATATGGGATACACATAGTGATTGCCAAATCTGCAGGAGTATTATATATATATAAAATATAGGTGATCAGTACAGAACAGTAAATTATGTGGGTTATAGTTACTATATACTCACTCATCTGTTCCCCCGCATAAATGGTAAATCAGAGTGAAAATGAAGAAAAATATCGCCAGACTCATGCTGTACACCACATGCAGGATCCTGAGGGGAAAAGCTATGACCAGGAAATCTATCAGCATCATTACACTATTCAGTCCATGAGTAATCACGCTAATTGCAGGGTATCTCATAGGCTTATCTGTAAGAGTAAGGATAGATATATGATATGGCTAACTATTAAAATGTATCATGGAATAAGTATGGAATAACAATCCAACTTCTTTATATAAATAAACTAAGATATTGCATTACACTCACTCATTTTTCCATGGAGGAACACCCAGTAAACTGTTGATATGATCAGAGCCAGCGACAGTGTCATATTGTATAGCCACCAGTAGATTTTCAGACCCCTTGACGTCTGCCCCTTGTGGGCTGATTCCTGTACCAGACTCCGGGTATTCCTATAGTCAAAGTGCCAGCAGGTGACCTGTACGGCGGAGATCAGCATGGTTATCGTGCACAGTCCGAATCCCCAATTGGTCATGTAGATAAAGAATTTTCCATCGCAAAACTGAACGATGATGCACATGATATACACGCCCAGGAAAAACAGGGCCCAAATCCAGCGATAGAGCAAGTATATAGTGTTGATCTCATCTTTTTGCCACTGTAAGGAGAAAGTTAGTATTTGCTTTGGTTATAAAATGTATTATATTTAATTAAAATTTATTATTTAAATAGTCCAATTATCTATTAAAAACATATATTTAATCCCATACTTCGTTGCTTTAATAGCGAATATTACTGGAATTTTCACAAATGCTTATCGCCCTAACCAGTCTGACCCTTACAAGATGATCTATTAGGGTCTATGTAGTATTTTAATTAAAATATTCCACACCTTTGCCCGCTTAAATTAACGTAAATAAATACTTAATGCCAATGACAGCTCATAATCACGATTCATGTCTTATCTTTTCCAATGACGTAGTCAGAATTAGGGAATGTCTAAGTGATTTCGCCTTCATTTGAGACCAATTTTGCGTGTGAAATATTATTCAAATTTGTTTGTTTTGAACTTCAATATTGCGGAAATAAAATCAGTTGATTAGAACGATTACGCGGGCCTTCCATGGATAGTTTATGGGCATGTTGTGTGTCCGATAAGGCCTAGAAAATTTATGGCATGCGCCAAGACTGTTGTAGTCTGGTTCCTGCTCTGATTTGATTAGTATTTCATTCGTGGAAAATGTACATTGGAATTACAATAACTTTCGAGGGTTCTCAGAACTTTTCAATTCCTAAGAGATTTGATTTTAAGACGTAAATTACTTTGGGGAATTTTCACTTTAGAATGACTCATTATGTTGTTATGTTAGCGATTTCGATTTCGTTTTTTTTTTGTTGATACTCACAAGGAAATAACAAAAATAGGGCTGTTAACTAAGTTCTTATCAAAGTTGTTATCTACAAGGCGTGTGGCAAATGACTTTTATCCACATAACTCAGTTATTTGTCAAAGTAAATGTGTAAGTTTTGAGTAAGCAAACAAAACTAATTTTCATTCTATAGGAATATTATTTGATTAGCTTTCAGTAAGTTAAAAACATATTTCCATATCTATATAGGTTACATTTCTAAGTACTAACTAATGTTCATGCTGCATGTGTGATGTTTGTTTGAAACCAAACAGCTTTGAATGGGGAGTAGCTTTTAGTTTAGCTGTGCTAATTAAATTCGAATTAATTAACAATGCTTGCGTGTACTCTGTGTTCTCACCATAACATTTTATGTTCTTTTTGTGAACTTCGCTTGTCTGCTTAACCCATTCTAATGAATTTTTGGTATATAAGCCAGTTTTACCTCTGCTTTCTTGTTGTACACTCGTACTTAATGGCAATGCCCTGTGGGAACTCAGTTTATGGTTTTTTGGCTAATGTATTACTTTTAACTGTTCACTGCTTAAAATACACATTTACAGGTTTTTCAATTATTTCTATCTAATTGCAGTAATTTTAGTTAGATTGCTGTCTGTGAAGCTTATGGCTTAAAAAGTTTTGGGTTTTACAAATTCCAACACTGTTAACCCTTTTAGCTCTTAATTTTTAGCAAACACGTGCCTCTATGAGTTGCAACTTTGAGGCTTCTCTAATGATAGTGACTAGCTATTTATTTTTGCTACTGCTATTTAAACTGGTCGTATGATACCACCTGAGTTATTACACCACCACCGATAATGTCTCATATATTACGAGTAAATAATTACGGGGAACTGCCCTCACCTGAGATCTGTAGAACAAATGAACCCGATTGTAGGCGAAGCCGAAATTCGCCCTTTGCAATTCCTTGTTAAAGCTTTTGCAAAAGTCGTCGAAAAGTTGCATTTCATATGGTTTTATATTTATATCTTTATTTATTTATTTAACTGGTTTTATTTATTTAGCTCCCTTATCGCGCGTTGTGTGGGGAATTTTAGTAGGAATTTCTGTGATTGTTAGAAGCGGAGACTTCCGACCCGAGTCGCGTTTAGCCGGCTACTGACTTCAGCAGTGCTTTTGAGTTATGTTTACGACTGACACGAGCACTGGTTCTCACTTTGGAGAGAGCTTGAGAGGGTGAGCGAGTTAAGGCGTGCGAGTAAGGAGCGTTGCTGGGATCTCCAATCTCTCCACTCTGCTGATCTTGAAAAAGTGATATTTTTGGGTCGGCAAGGGTTAGAATTCTGGGGTTATTTGCGAACAGTTGTTGTCACCACACCCGGCACGCGCACTCGATCGCTCCAAAAGGCGGACTGACTGCCGGATCGATTCGCAACCCGATCGAAAATTGGTGATCGCTCGATTCCAGTCGGCAGACGATCACTACATCGGTTGCCTAACGGGAATTGGACACATTGACTGCTGGCATATCATGCTTTATAGGGAGCTATCATTATCATCATCGTCACCAAAATTCAATTTAATACAACAATAATGTAGAGCAGTCGGCTGGCTAAAGAGTGTCAAATAGCAAGTACCCGCCCTCTTGCTGGTGGGAACCGTTTTACAGACTTCCATTATATCAGTCATATTATTGACAGCTGGAACGCTCGGATGTATGAACATCTGTCACGATTGACCAGCACTGAACTTGAAGCCACGGAGGTCGACCAATTAAGATATCCATTTAACATGTACCACCCAAAAAAAGCTAAAAAATAGCACTTGATGCCCGAAATTCTAGCTGACCTACGTTTATTGAGGGCAGACATGTTCCCAGTGCGATAAGCAAAGTACGCTCTTATCTAATCCATCGCAGAAAGAGAGAGCTATTATGCACCTTAAAACGGCTAATTAGTATTTAATTTAATAAAGCTTTAGATAAGTTCTTTACTCAGATAAGGGTTAGGTGCTAAAACTGATTTTAGTTCATCTGCAAACAGTAAGCTCAGCATAAGGTATCAGTAGAAAGTTCTTACTATAATTGTATCAAGCTATTGGTCCTTATTAGTTTTATGTTTACCTAGATAAAGAACATAAATTAGTTAATGTACAAAATTATTAAATTCATTATAATTTCTTAGTTGTTATAAATATTTTTAATCCCATACTTTGTTGCTTTAAGAGCGAATATTACTGACATTTCCACAAATCCTTATCGCCCTAACCTGTCTGACTCTTACACGATGATCTATTAGGGTTTATGTAATATTTTAATTAAAATATTCCACACCTTTGCCCACTTAAATTAATGTAAATAAATACTAAATGCTAATGACAGCTCATAATCACGATTCATGTCTTATCAATGCCAATGACGTAGCCAGATTTCGCCTTTTCGATGAGATTTTTTCAGACTCATAAAATTACTTACTGACCTTCAAGACAATCATTAGAAATCTAATATTTATACGATTTAACTTTATTTATTATGGTTGATACCCTCGTTTGAGATATCCAGAATCCTCAACCCATTTTTAATTTCTAGCTGGCACATTTTAGCCACTGAACTTGGATCAATTTGAGCGCTTAATAAACGCGCAGCATCGATTACATATGGACATTCCTTCGGAATGTTTAGCATATCAAATTCACACCCAGATCGTAAATATTATAAAGAGCAACTGGTTCGTTACCCCTATATCTGACCTTGCCATTGGCCGGGAATAAGAAACCGAAAGTGCCGTCGGCATTCGTTGTAAACTTCCTCTTTTTTGCATAAATTCAATTTACCTCTGTAATTGAAAGTCAATTCCAGAAGAAGACACATTCTCAAATTGACCTTTCGTCTTGTTTCTGTGGGAATGGCTTGACAGCAAGTTTATTTGAAGGAAATTTTCCGTTGATCGATAGTTGGCGTTTTTTCTGATTACATAAACAAGAAATTTGATATTAGTTGTTTACAAATAATTTGGATTTCTCAATTAAAAATTCCACACTTGGGACTTCCCACGAATTTCGTTCTGAAGCTAGTAAACAATTCACGAAATTTAATTTGATAGGCTTATTTATAATATATTATCAAACACCTCAGATAAGAGGTGTTTTTGGTGATTTCTAAAACTAAGTAAAATGTTTCAGATTGTTACTCCTTTTCATATAGATCATAGTTTTCTATCAGAAACACTGATGAGGGGTCCCGTTTACCTTTTACTCACTTTTTCTCTTCAAAATATATTGCATATCTCAAGGCGTACATGAGATTTTTAGTATATGTTTTTGTATTTAATCATTCATACTAATATTTTCAATGGCTAAACTAATGCTGAGCTTCACACTAGAAATTAAAATCATATTCAAAAATTTAGTATTTAAGTATTTAGTATTTTCTCTAAAAGAAACACCCTGTTTATACATTCATCTTTATAACAGAACTTTTATTTCTTAATTGACTGTTTTACTTATCAGAGAACCAATGATTCATGAGCAAAAGTCAATTTTTAAAGTTGACGTCATGAAATGATATTTTTTCTAATCTTTGGAATTGCACATTCCCCAAAGCTTTTGCAAAATATTTGCTTAGAGTCCACTAGTTTTTAGTTCCATATACATACATACATATATACATATATATGTATATAAACATATATATCAACAAAGCCTCGTATCAGTAATGGCAACAACGTCAATCACATTTCCTCCACTTTGAACATATCATGATAGCCGAACTGCTAAATTAGCCAAATGAGTTTGTCAGAAAAGGCTGGGTTACAAAAGATTAAAAAGCTAGATACAAATCAACGTGTGACTTCTACGTGAATATAGCCCCTTCAGAAAGTATCTATATTTTAGAGTTTTCCGTATCGTCATCAAGACATCTACCTACAATGAGAATACAGATCATAAGTCAATCGCACTGTGATTAGCTGGTAGATGGCCTGGCACGGAAAATCGTATAATATTTGGACTTTTTTAAGGGGCCTTTAATGGGAAGGACCTTCTCATGCGATACAGTTAAAGACACCCGAATCACTCCCTTCATTTGCTATCAGAGTTTTGGGTGTCTGTGCATTAGAATCATGTACATAAAATTGAGTGGGTGACAAAAGAGCAAATACACAAAATACCCAAAGCGATCTGTGCACTCCGGTGTGTGTTCTTTTCTTGCTGTTCGTGAGTGCGACAAACACTCGAAATGTATAAGTGTGATTCGGGTGCCGAAAAAAACACCCTTGACGTTCTCTGATACAGACGTTTAATAGATTCTATTAAATTAGATAGCCCTACATCTACATTTAACAACCTCATACAATTTTTAGACTTCTTACTTAAATAAAAACTTTATAGATATTGCAGAAAACATAGATGTGTCATAAAAATAGCACAATACATAGACATTGCAGAAAAACATTGATTCGCATTAATCCGTAGAATGTAAAGTGTCGCTATTTTATAAATCTGCAATAGATGACGCTATATGTATATATACATTTTACATACATGTAAAATACAGTGTTTTTTGCCAACTAAATATTTACTCCTTAAAGCGAACCAATCCTAAGGGATGAACAGTTTTCGTCACTACTCAGCACGCTGCTATTGGTGGTAAGCACTTAGCTTAACTTATCGAAGTTAGGCGCCATCTGTCATCGACGGTTAATTTTGGAAGTTAGGTCCCTCTCTAGATGAAGAAGGAACATTGAAATCGAAGTTTCGTAGAAACAGTCCCCCTTAATTTTTAAATCAGTTCAAATTTAATCAAATAAAAAAATAAAATTAATTTAAATATCATTTATACATTTTGACCATAAACTTGCATTGACTATTTATGAATTTCATACCGTTTATTTAACTCTCAAATTAGGGATATATAGTTATATAGTTCACAATATATTGAGCTTAAAGGTGTGCTATTTGTATGGCATATCTATGTTTTCTACAATGTATTTTAGTCTAGTTAGTTAGTTTCTATGTTTATAAGAAGTCTAAATTGTATAAGTTCGTTAAATGTAAATGAGTGGTAAAGGTTTTATAGAATGTCAATGGGCTATCTACTCGCATCTACTTCCATCACTTAGAACACTTTTATGTATATTTTTGCCACAAAATTTAATAGAATCTATTATACGTCTGTATGTATTTCGCCATAACATTGTATGGCACCAAAAAGTTATTTCAAGTAATCTACATTTGTATTCTACACATTTTTGATTTTGTAATATAAATGTAAAGTAAACAAGGCTGTGTAATATCATTGTTTGAAATGCTGAATTATATTATACTAATATTATATTATCAATTTTTTTAAATCATTTTACTAGCCATATTTCGGAAGCTGTTTTGTAGATATTTATTTGAATATTTGCAAATAATGTTTTTTCTTTACCGTTTTTATAAAATACATTTTAAGTATAAAACAATGCATTCTTAATATTTAAAAACATTTTAATATTGAAATATAAAAACAACGATTAGGTTAGATTAGACTAGATTATCAAAATATTATACATTGGTTTGAGGTTGTAGCTCGCATGTACCTCACAATCTGAGTTAAGCTAAACTAAATACAAAATCAATATAGACATTATCTTGTTTTACAATTAAAATATATGAATAGAAATAATGAACAAATTATATTTGAAATTACATTATTAAATTATTTATTTATTAAAAGTCACTAAAAAAGTTTAACAATATAATAAATCACACATCCTCAACTCAAGGATATTCCAAAACTTCATTTATCATTGTTTGCCCTCACCTTTGAACTTCATAAAACTTGCAATATTTTCATTCAAAAACTTCTAAGACAATACTCGCTCTGAATAAGCTACACCTATAAAGACTAATGAAATCGTAGGAGATCAAGACAGATGGTTGTAATTATATGCCAAATTAAACAAACAATAAAATTCAGCATTAACTTTATTCTAAGGGGCAAACGATAAGCCAACAAATTAAGCAATCCAAACTATGAACTGATTGCAAAGTTCGTCCTATTACTTTGGCCAAAATAGATGGCCAAGCCATTCAACATTTGCATTATAATCTTGGCGCTTCTCCTGCTGACTTTCGCTATGCTCCATCGCCCTATTGCTTTTTTCGCATCCAGAATATGAATGAGTGGGCCAGGGAGGGGTAGCTAAAGGAGCTAAAGGAGAGGACCAAGCGACCGTCGGGTCATCAAACATAATTACTTGGCCAAAAGGCATGCGCCAGTTGACATTTCAGTGGCGACCCGCGTCACTTTTTTGCCTCTACGCCCCTTAGACGTTCATTAGCCGTGGTTGGCAACTTAAAGGTGAGCAGCAGCAGCAGCAGCCATCTACAATCACAGACCCGTCCCTCACAATCC